TTCTTCTTCCTTTCGTTTTCTCTCTTCCTCCTCCTCCCTCCTTTTCCTTTCCTCTTCTTCCCTTCGTAATCGCTCTTCCTCTTCTTTTTTCCTCCGTCTTTCTTCTTCTTCTTCTCTCTTTTTACGCTCCTCCTCCTTACGTTCGAAGTTTAAATTAAAAATTAATTGAGCTACAATCAATCTTGTGATATACATTACAAATATAAAAATTAGTTAAAAATACTAAAATATCCATTTTACTCTGAATGTTCTCATTGCGATAACTGCTTAATTTATTATAATAATAAAAATAGAAATAAGAATACAAATAATATTTTATCAATGCTTTTTATTTCATCATTGGCCTGTTTTGAGATGATTTCGTAGTTTAACTCATAACTTTTCTGTAAAATTTTTCAGAGATCTCACGTTCAATCCTCTTGAATTGAATGGGAGTGATAGACACTCTGACACGCAGTTGTTAATAGGCAGGGACAGCCAATCCTATCACAGGATCCAGTCTGCTGCTTATCCAGGTCAACGGAATGACAGAATGTCGTAGGTGCGAAGTTCAAAGGCTAACTGTTGTGGAATGTATTTGCGAAGTATTTACGATTTCAATTAAAGCGACCAGTCTGGCACGTTGATTACAGAATCTGGTTAAGTTTTTTTTATCAGCTGATGCTTTTCCTTTGTATAACATCTATAAAAACTATAATTTTTTCCAGGTATTTAAAATGAAGTTTTAATTCGATGGTTGGAACTGCTCTTATGCGAAATTTTTCTTTTCCGTACCAAATGAGCAGCATTTATCAATCTAAATACTCATTCCAGTTGCATTATACCAGGCATGGTTTAGGTTGATTAATTTGGGGCACTATATTATATCTGCTGTTTGTGATGATAGCTAAATAATAATAATATTATTAATAATAATTTATATAATAATATAGGCTATAATTATAGAATAAAAATAGAATTACTAATAATTATAATTTTAAATGTTGTCATGATAGTACGTTAAATACGATGTCTGACTTCGCGATGCTTGGCATGCCTTGATAGAATAGCTCGTTCACCTTCAGACCGTTGCAAACATTATCGTTATTATCATTTTTCATCAATGCCATTAAAATCTTCATCATCGCCGCAATTACTATTATTATTTTAAATTTAAATTTAAATTTTTTATTGATTAATAATTAAATCTTATTACTATTATTACATCCAGTGGCGGATTTTGAGTGGGTCAGGAGGGCCATGGCCTCCCACTTTGAGTGAATTTTATTAAAAGTTGTTGAATCTCTGGCGATACACAAAAAACCCGTTTTGTAGAGAAAATCTACCAAAAAATTTACGTGATAAGCAAAACATAGAAAAAAATTAAACAAGAAAAAATTTGCCAGCATAATTTTGGCTACACTACCAAAAATTTAGCTACTTTCTAGGCCCCCGTCAAAATATTAAAATCTAAACATTTCAAAATTTTGCCCCTTCATCCCCGTCAAAATTGTCCAGATCCGCCACTAATTTAATCATAACAATCATCGTCATAATAAAAACAATTCTTATTACTATAGTGATCATTATCACAAACACATCATTATCACAAACCCGAAAAAATTTCAGCTCGACAGTAACATTTAACGGTTGTCATTTTACAAAGAGTTATTGACCCGCTGTCAACCTGAATTTATTTTCATTCATTTATTCGTCTGTTCATTTTTTTATACTTTTACTCTTGTACATTTGTCCATTCATTCATTTCTTCATTCATTCATTCAATCAATCGTTCACTCACTCATACATTTATTTCTGCTTCGGTTCATCTTTCAATTCATTCATTTATTCGTTTATTCATCCATTTATTCGTTCATTTATTTATCAATTACTTATTCATTCATTTGTTCACTTATTTTCTGGCCGTCTGTTTGTTCATTTGTTAATTATGTCAAGATGGTACAATGATTTTACTGTTGGTTTTACTGATGGTAAAATTAACATTAAAATCATATAATCACCTTATGGCGATTTCTAAAGAAATGGAAAAATGACTGACGCTGCTGAGATGTGGTTCTAAAAAAAGAATTATGAAAATTAGTTGGACATCTCATACTTCCAATGTCAATTTAGCTATGAAAAGAGGAAATTACTACAAATAATCCAACGTTAAAGTTTTTCGGTAGCGTCATGCATAGGGGTAGAATGGAAAATCTAACAATTACTGGAAAAATTACAGAGAGAAGAGATCACGGTCAACAATGGAGTACATTCGTGAAGTCCTTGAGTCCCTTGTTGAATATCACCACATTTCAACTGCTACAAAATGTTAAAGATTGGGTTTTGTGTGGGTCGATATTGCCAAAATATAAGGCCCAACAAAAAGATATTGTAATATAATAAAGAATGAAATATGATAAAGACAGAAAATTGGCATTTTATCTGAATAAAAGTCCTTTGAAAAAATATAAGACAGTTTCGACAGACTGTATTCGAACCATGCTATCGCGTAATAGCAGCGCGAGACATGGCACTTCTACTGAGTTAACCCGGTGACCTGTTGAAATCAAACAATGCACTTTTTTTCTTAGTTAAATTACTTTGTCTTTATGTTTTAAAACATGCTGGAAGATATTTATTTAATTATTTATTTATTCACTTGTTGGCTTTAATTTCAGATATATTGTTTTGAAAGTTTGCATCTTGACGCCACGGAGTAACAGCATAAAACTCCCAAAAACAAAACCGTGAGAATGGTAAATTTTAGTACTTACATTATTGACACTAATTTGGTTGTTACCGGTCTTGCACAAAGTCTCCTGATCGTCTTTCAGAAATCTATTCGGGACACACCAACCTTTTTGGATATATTCTCCTCCCGTTTTACATTTGTAACAACCGGATCCTGTATCGAATCGTCCGCTCTTCATTTTTGGGATCACGGCAAATTTTATATTCCCTGTTGTTGTTCGAATGAATGGAACGTGATTGATCAATTCAATTTGAACAAAACTAATTTATTAAATAGACACTTATTGGAATTTAAACAACTATTATAAAAACTGACGTGATGAGAATACAAAGACTTTTTGCCTTTTATTGTCTCTAACAAGACAAACTAACTAGAAAAGACTAAATTAATGATTGATCATGGTATACAACATGCGACAGCAACGATAAAAGATCCACACACAAACCCCAGGAGCGTCTACAAATGCCTGCACATTATAGATGGGTGATAATTTTTTTGATATAAAAACACTGAATTTTATTTTAGATAAAAAAAAGTCTAAATCAACTAAAAACTTGATCAATTAGGGCATTTTTCGCTCCCAACATTCATGACGGATTGACGCCCCTGCAAACAATAACAAACAACAACAACAACAATGAACAAAGAAATACTCACAACAAATTTACAAACAACGACAGACTAAGAACAAACAACCAAAACACAAAAAAAAACAAACAACCTGCAAACAAATACCTACCATATTCACTTTCGATGCAGATAGTTTCCTCGATACTCAATGTGGTTTGCTGATTGGCATTAATTTGCCTCTCAACCCCGTCAATGATCACCGTTAAATCATCTTCGCTAACAAAGACAACAGTTGTTTTGGGCCCATTGGCACCAATTTCCAGATCCGGAATTCCTTGTTATCATATTATTTGCATTATCCACTTCCGGTTTGTTTTCTCCTTCCAAGTTTGTTCTTTTTTATGTTAACTAAGATAATCGGCTAGCGAGATGTGGGAATGGTTTACTCGCATGGTTCTATTTTCGCAGTGACTGGATTCGAAGGCGAAGAAACTCCTGCTTGCCAACTGCAAGGTACATGATGCCTGGATTCACACATATTCGCTAGCGTTCTTTGTCCGCTGTTGATATTTCTAAGACGAATAATGCAATAAATAATGCAAGATATATTGAAAAAACAACAATCAAGTTACCTATCTCTTGCAAAGGCTCTGCGTTAGAGATATAATTATTATTGCTATAAATTACAATCATATTAATTAGCATAACTTTATAAAACTTTATAAAACTTTATTATTACAATGAAACATTTTTTGGCGTTATCAGCAGTCATCAACTTTTTAGTCGCAGTGGCGGATCTAAGGGGAGCCGGGGGCCATCCGTTGTGACAAGTGTTTTATTGAAAGTCAGTGAAACTCAGTCTTATGACAGGAAAACATTGTTATTGAGTTACAAATAGACCAAAAATTGGCGAGATAACCGAAAAACATAAAAACACCGCTTTTTGTACAAAAAATCATCGTTTTAAATTGAAAAATGGATCCGAAATTGTCCGATAACCAAAAAATGGTCGCCAAGTCTTTTCAGTTTTTGGCCCCTCTCAGTCAAGTTTTGCTTACCCTTGTCAAAATTGTCTAGATCCGCTCTTAGAGACATTGAGGCATAGGTATAAACAACACTTCACGTAACACTACTTCACTCACCCATCCGTAGCTCATAGGAGGGATTGACTCGTTGGCAGGAGTAGTCATCTCCCATAGGAACCAACCCTGCAATATACTTAAGCGTCACACTTTCGGTTCCTACCCACATCTCTTCCTCTTCTATGACCATCGCCATCCCCCATCCATGCGATTGAACTTTTGTGTCCGAACATGCATCCCTGCTACATTAATTAGGTACATACTTTTAAACATTAGCAGGATCGCACAGCCTGTTGGCTAGTAAATTAATGATACTGAAATCAATAGTGGTGAGAGTTATAAAAAGAATTGCGTATTGTTATAACCATTTGTAAAAGATTAGTTACTTGCGGTTACACCTCCAGTGATCGCCTGTGTTGTACTGCTGATCTGAGTAATCAAACACCGAAGTCTTGCAATCAACTGTGAAAACGTTATTGCCATTGTATGTGATTGTATTTTATTATTGTAGTTTTCCTTCTTATCGTTGTTAGTCATGTCACCTTTACCATTTTGATTCTTTCATCTTCTTCATCATCATCACCAAAGCCGTTAACTTCATCAGTAATCATCACAATCGTTATCATCATTGATTACCATTACAATCACAATCGTAACTACCATTATCGTGAACTATCATCACACTCCCACCCTCATCATAATCATCATCGCTAACCTCTCCCGCGAGTAGCGACCGTAAAGCAGACGTGGCCATACACCTTCAAAAATTCTTTGTTTGCGTCATTGTGTCGAGCGCCATCCAGCATGAGGTGGATCTCGCAGTTGTGGTCGACCCGGATTCTGTGAGAGGGGAGATCAGGTTGTGTTTCCAGCTTTGCGGTGCGGCACGGTTCGTGGGGAATCTCATCTGTGGTTCATTACAATGTTTCTTAAAGTGTGGTCTGAAGGGGCAATCATGATAAAGACCGGTGATCCGCGGCGGAGCCGATGCTGGTTGGCAACGGGTTAGCAGGAGTAAATCAGAGAATAAGTGCGAACTTTTTTATATTATAGTTAGTTGAAAAAAAGTTTGAGCAAAATTATAATTCATTTCACGTTTCATAAACTATCAATTATAATTTATATATCAAATTCAGGGGAAGGGGTCATTAAAGATGGTTCTGTTAGCTTAATGGCACATAAACATACCTCTGAATGAACTCTGAACTCAATATAGGCGCCCTTCAAATCATTAAATCTACAATGCAATATAATACTTGATTTACATTCTTTATTTTTAGTTTTTACTTTATTTCATGGTAAAAATTATTTCATTATACGTATATCTACTTATTTTTGATCCAATTATCACAACAAATACCCATTATTTTGTTACGCTAATTGGACGAACACTATAAATATTATCTTAGTTGTAATTTTCGTAACGAACTGTAATTTCATTTTATTTAGTTATTTTCTAAATTGGTTGAACTTGAATTTGAGGGCACCTAGAATATGGCACTTAAATCCATCAATGTACATGTTGGGTAGGCAATAGAATACTTTCGCGGATCGGACAAAGTGTGGACGTTGTTACATAACAATTAGAGAAGAGTTGGGATATTTTTAGTCATAGTAGCAAACTTTTATTAGCATAATTGTTAACAAATAATTTTTAATAATATAATTCAGTAGTTCAACCAACGAAGTCAAAATTAAATTTATTTTAATACATTGTACAACAAATTATAAAGCTATACCTTTTACAACATGGCTAATAATTTAGTGAGAGAAGCATGAAATCATAAAGATTTGAATAAAGTAATTGACCGATAAACCGTTATTTTATTTGTTCTGCTTGTATTTTGTTTTGAAAAAAAATAATAATTTTTTTTTATAAATTGTGCTCAGATTTAGTTAAATAAAAATTAGAAAATGATTTTTAACTTGATAGCTTAATCCTGCAGTAAAGATTTTGGTAGAGTTGAACATCTGTCTGGTACAGGTAAGTCTTAAACTCTTTATCTATGTGTCCTTCGCGAATGGGCACTGTCTTAACGTATGTATGTGTGTATGGTTATGTGTTTATGTGTGAATGGATGCATATATGTTTGTATATGTTGTTTGTATATGTATGTATGGTTGTGTGTTTATATGTGTATTGATGTGCGTATGTTTGAAGTGTGTATGTTTGGGTATATATTTGTGTATGTATGCGCAAAACCACACAGAAACATGAACATGAACATTGTACTTCAAAATCATCTGACATAAATTATATATATGCACAGTACATATTGTCAAGTATGTACGTGTGTGTGGGTTTGTGGGTGCTTGCTTATCTGACTTTGTAGGATTAAGCATAATTAATGGTATGTTTACGTGTATAAAACAATATAAACATAATTTGTAAGAACTTCCCCTACAAAACTTTGGTCATTGAAATTGTAATCGTTCCAGTTGTCACCAGGAAAGCTTTCCGAGCACCTAGCTTCCTTAAAGTCAGTTCTCCGCTCCCAGGCTATAATGAATTTCTGATGATGAATTTGTTTTGGTTTCAGCTCTATAGCGAGAACGCTGGTGACGCTAAAAGGGTTCTGCAGAGCTGGCGGGATGTAGCGGCCCGTGCAATCGTTTATTACGAAGGCCGGGACCTCTGTCTTCAATGTGCATTTCTCTCCGTTCTGTGCTGTTTCAATTTTTTGAAAAGTCGAAAATTTTTTGAAATTCAATTCATTTTGTTATCGTAATCATAGCTAGGCAGCTCAAAAAGCAGCTCAAAGTTTCTTACTGCAACTACTCCAACGTATCAAGACACACACACACGCACACATACACAGAATAAATAATACATATATACATGAATAAACGTATAAACAGGCATTGCACGCACTGCATGTGCTAGGCGGGAATTTTCTGGCATTCGAAGCAGACCACTGCAAATCAGGACCCGACGCCTCCAACTATTAAACTCTCGAGCTGGGTCGTATCTGCTTATATTCCTATTTTCCAACTCGGTTTCAATCACTCTTTTGTAACTAAAAAATTTTGCAATCTTAAATGCGTATAATGAAGAGCGGTAACTTAAAAACCTGAACATCTAATTATCGCCAGGAGCCAGCTCATGAGACAGGTCAAAAGGATGGACGAGAGGTTCATTATTGTTTTCTATAAATACATAGAAAACTGAGCTTTGTATAAATTTAGTTCAATGTGACGTTGTTAAATTTATTTTTTAAAGCGGGAAATTAGATTTTTTAAAAAATGAGCTCAAATATTCAAATTCATGCTGATACGTTGTAAATCTAATTTTAATTGGAAAAATTAATTGAAGAAAAATATATTTTAGACGCTTGGATTTTTTTAAATTGAATTCTACTTCTATGTTTACAACGAAATATATGGTTAAATTGAAAGCATTTGAATGTAGTATGAGTTATTTTGATTTGACTATAAGTTTACCTATGGAAAAAAGGGCCACAAGCAAGTGGGAACATTGGAGTTAAAGCTGCACAATAAAAAAATTGACTGAGGTTAGGACGAAAATTATTGAAAACTCTTTAAAAAAGTTTATGAAAATTTGGACTGAAAACAATTTAAGATCCTCACAACAATAAATGCAGAGTTTTTGAAATACGCAGAAAATACTTCAACAGGAGAAATATCAAGAATTTTCAAGTCCAAAAATGTGGTCATCAAAGTTCTCTGGATCCAGTTTTCGTTGCATCCACCGTTAATCTGACATTTTGATGGGAAAATTATTTCATACGTACTTCAAATATTCGGTGAACACGAGGCGTTCTTCAGAAGATGATGGCTTATAGTGCTGAATGGATCAAGACTAAGACAGTCGGTATTCTTATCGTGATAAAAATCACCTGGTTAGATGTTATAGTATCGAGAGGTAGCTTTCGATAATATTATATGTCTTGTTTTTATATTTTTTATCTTATTTTATTAATGAAGATTTGACAAAACATTGTTGTTGTAGTTGTTCAATCAACCCTTTATTAGAGCTTCTAAGCAGCGTTCATCAGGTGATCTGTATAACAGAGCAATATAATCCAAATACAATACAAGGTTCGACCTATAATAATCCCAATAGTCTGAGTAGTACTAAGATCCAAATAATAGAGTACAACCAATTACTCAGTTATCCAAAATTATATTCTAATCAATTAATAAGCAATAAATAAACATTCATTCAACAGAAATGACGAAATATACCGAAAATATGAAACCAAATAATTCATTCATTCATTCGTCCATTCATTCATTCGTCCATTCATTCATTCGTCCATTCATTCATTCGTCCATTCATTCATTCGTCCATTCATTCATTCGTCCATTCATTCATTCGTCCATTCATTCATTCGTCCATTCATTCATTCGTCCATTCATTCATTCGTCCATTCATTCATTCGTCCATTCATTCATTCGTCCATTCATTCATTCGTCCATTCATTCATTCGTCCATTCATTCTGAAAATTGTCTACTCGTTGAGTTTGATCATCATCCTACAGAATGTTGCAGATACACGAGCGTATGAAAATGGTAGTAAGAAGAAGAAAAATAATAATAGTAAATAGAACGATTCACTAAATACATACAAAAATAACAAAATCCATCTGGCGGCTATAAAAATAAACTTATATACATTATATTTATTGAATTAAAATAATTTTAATTAGAATAATTTTTAAAATAAATTTAAAATAAATTTAATTCAGTAGTTTTTAGCGACAGAGAAAACAACGAAACAAAATTTATTGAATGCTAGCTATCTCGGCAGTTGAACGAAAATCATAAAATATGCAATTTTATAAAACTATTGAATACTTCGAAATGTAATGATAATATTTATCTGACTATATTATTTATTAGCTCATTCCTTCAATTAATCGTTCGTTCATTAGTTTGTTCATCAATTCATTTAAGTTATCCACCTAGTCTTTCATAATTTCTTTATTTTTTTATTGTTCAAGCATTTATTCATTAATTCCAAATTATAACTGCATAATTTAATAATTCTAGTATGAGAAATTCGTCATATCAAATGACAAACGAATACATTGTAAACGTTCCAAATAGGCTAGAAACTTTCTTAACCAGCCATCAAAACTCTACTGCATGACAGGCAGGCCTAAACGAATGAGGATTCGAATTAGCAACCGTTGGAATGACCCAAAATAAATCCCGTTCACAGCACCGTAAGCTGAGCTAATTTCATCAAAAATATGTCCATTTGAAATTTTAACTCCAAACGACGATAACTTTGATTGAGAACTGTTTGTTTACAGTAACACACATGTACGTACATGTGGCATGCCAGGTAGAGTTTTAGAAAAGGAAAAGAACAATCAACCATTTAAAATGGATTGGAGATTGAAGATTTATTTGCTCAAATTTAGCCTCTTTATAGCAAACATACATTTGAATAAACATTCTGGCCTTCTGATCCTCAATCTTTGGAAGGCATAAATTGCGTTTGAAGTTTGGAATTCTATCAGATGAAGGACGATTTCATCAATGAACGAACTGTTGGAGCATCATCATTCCAATGATGAGCACACTAAAAGGCGCTTCTGAAGCTTTTCCGAAAGAGACGGTACACAAATCCGGATACGGATCTGAAGCATCAATTACGTCACACATATATGGGCGGGTCAGGATCCAGTTTATGCAATGTGAAATGTGTGCAGGCTTATTACTGCCGAATATTGATGATAATTTTAATTATTTTCATTCCAATAAACTTATTTTTGGATATTTAATAATTATACAATCGTTTTTATTATTAAAGTTTAATGGATGGTTGTAAGTTCATTAATCGTATGATTTCTTTGTAATAAAGATTGTAATGATGGCCTTGTAAAGATTTCTAACAAACTTTGTTTTGTATACTTATCACATTTGTATATAAATGACGTTTCGTCTCCTCTAAAACAAATCCCAGTTAGACATCATTTTAACATTTGACAGAGCAATTCTTCAAATATGCCTCCAAAGATTCAGTCTAAAAAGCGATCCAAAAAACAAACTGAAAAAACTGTTGATGCTCGAGCTGATTTAAATGGAGCAAGAAATGGGATAGGAACGCAAATGCAAAAATGCCATTTATCGGAAGATAGGAAAAATAACGATGTCTTAGAAAGAAAAGTCAAAGTATGGAAAGGACTAACTGATTACACGGAAGACCAATTTTCTTCAGATAGCGATGACGTAAGTTAATTTTATTTGTACATACATGAATAGACAAAATATAACAACATATGCATATTTTATCAAATATCTAATTTGGTTTGATTAATTTACAGGAAATCTATAAAGGTTTCGTTAACGATGATGTCGAAACATGTAAGGAGAGATTTGAGTTCCTACTGAACAGACCTCTCAAACGGAAGACGAAAAATGGGAAGGCAAAAAATAAAGTCCGGAGGACGAGATTTCGAGATGTCCAGGAAGAAAGAGACTGGAGGAATAAAACTGATGACATAAAAGAATCTCTAAACAAGATGGTGAACAGCGATGGAACTATTTCTAAGGAGGAAGTCTTGAAACTTTTTGAGTTATAAAAAATCAAGTTAATTTTTTGGTAATATAGAAAATATTTTTGTATAGAGAAACATTGAAATAAAAACAAAGGCTCGTTAAAATAAGAATCGCTTTCCCGATAAAATTTGAATGATTATAAAGGATACATCATTTCACAGAAATCGGTTGAGAACAAATCGAAAAATTAAATAATGTTGGAGCCGCGATATAAATTTTATTTTTATACGATAACTGCAGAAATCTTTTCTCAGCTGTCTAAACTGTGTTCTAATAAGATTTTTCAGGCAGACATACTTTATTTTAAATTCTATAAAATTAAAACAAACCCGCTAAAATATGACGATGGTCAAACTTATAACCTAAATAGCCGCATCTGGTTACAAAAAAACCATAAAACAAAGTAAATGATTGTGTTAAAATATGAATGCATGATCGTTTAAACTGTTTTATAAAAAATTTTAAATTTAACAAATAAACTAAAAATGAAACAGAGATTGAAACTAAATTCAACGCCACTAACAGGCGACATGGGAGAGAGGGCATCGACTAACTAAGAAACTCGAACAACGTTTAAAACATTGAAGCTTTCAACATCATCAGTAGAAACCATGTCAATAGTACCACGTCCAAGGTCCAACATCGCCCGCTTTGCCTTGAATGTATATTCACTGACATTTTTAATAAATTATTTATTTATTCGAAAAAACTGTTGACGGGACAATTCAAATGAAAATAAACAGATTTAAATGTGTTATTCGCTGATGAGTTCGAGTGAGTGCCTATTCTCACCGTTTTCAATATTAAAAGAATTAAGAGTAAAATTTTTCGGAACGCAATTGTGAACTTGGGCAGCAAGTTTGCCGAAATAGAAAGTTCAATACAGGAGAGTATAGATATAACAAAAAAATTGTTTACAAAGTTTTACAATTGTTTACTTCAGGTGCAATGAAAACTGTGTACAGCCTGTTGCTTAAAAAGCAAACACGTTTCTTGTTGACAATGACAAGGCTTGTCATACAAACAAAGGAACAGTCAATGAAATTGCGATTAAATAAAAAAATTGTTTCAGACATACAGACAAATGAATTTTCAGCTTTAAATGGTTTGCAACTAAACACAAATAGGCACTGACGACGCTGATAAAGCTTACCAAGCTGTTTTTGCAGTAAAATAAAGTAAAACATAAATTTAGTTTATAAGCATTAATATCATTTACAATAGTTTTGTCTAACCACACCTCACTTACTGTAGTCAACCATTTGAGTATGAATTCAAATTTTTCAAGTTAAACATATCAATCGCAATTGAGATCTAAGGCTATTCATTCAAAAGTAAATTTGGCTGACATAAACTTCGTGAGCGATGCGGTGGTGGTTCGTGAGTTGGGTAGAGCACCGTGTAACGTAATAAAAATAAATATTAGGGAAAAGTATAATAATTTGGATTCAATAAATATAATTTTATTATAAAGCGTTATTACGCCGTCAATTTTGAAAGTTAAATACCACACATTTATATTTTTATCGCAAATCTTTTACCGACTTGGCATTCCTTCAAAATTCTCATGAAAATTATCAAGGTGGTTATTGACTGTGGAAAGTTGTTTAATTTGTTGAAATGTCAAAAATATTTAAAAAGTCAGTGGTGTTTTGTAGTGTTTATTTTATAAATTTAATCTCATTCACGCTAGATAGCATTTTATATTTATTTAAATTTTTAAATTTGTTATTTTTTAAAATTGCAAAAAAATTTTTAGTGGATTATTTAAATTATTTACACTCGGGATAAGGTGCATGTGGGATCAAAAGTATCGGGATTAACTCCCACCAAACCATTATATTTTATAGATTGAGTCATCAAGCGAAGGATGAAATTCGACTGGATAATTACATAACGACGCAAAAGCTTCCAGGTAGGCCTAAATGTTAAGTTAAAAAGTTAGAGCTCTATCGTTCGATTCTTACAATAAAGTTTCACGTGTCATGGTTTTAAATACATTATTATTATGTTATTCACTCTATTGACATCCCTAAAAGGATAGTAGTTGAACAAATATTTTTTTAACTATTTTCTGAAATCCTTTTCTGGAACAATTTGCTTCAATCTTGCACACATCTGTCACCCAGTTTTGTCCTGGTCCTAGGAATTACCATCATTTCTGACAAAACCGAACGCAATGCATGTCCCACATCAACTTCAGTTCTTTTGCGAAAAACCTCCTTCAGATATTCTGGGGCACCACAGGTACGCAACCATGAGCCATCACGGCCATCTTAAATCTTATCCGTTCCCTGATCGGTAGCCAGTGGAGACTTTCCAACCACTTTGTAATGTGAACACGTCTGTTTAGACCAATGACCAATCTGGCGGCCGCATTCTGGATTCGTTAAACTTTATTTACTACCCCTACACCGGCACCATACAGCAATGAATTGCGATAGTCTGATCCAGACAGTACAAAAGTCGCCGCCAGGCTAGTAAAAGTATCAACTGGAAGACATTTCTTGACCAGATACAATCTTCGTAGCAGAAGAAAGAAGATAACATTGAGTTTCGCGAATATAAGTAAAAATTCTATTAAATTACATTCATAAGTCAATCAAAAGTGAATCGAGCAAAACAGGTTTTATTAGTTTATTTATATTTATTAGTTATATTTCATCATAGAACACATAGAAACAATGTATTTAAAATTCTTTAATTCTTCACACACACACAAACACATATATATATATATATTGCCGGAAAGAGACCATATTTTATACAGTATTGCATGAATTCTACAGAATTGTTAGCGTCAATCAATTTAGAGTTTGTCTTTCCAATTTTCCTTACTAGAATTTTCTGAAAATTGTCAAATTTGTTGAAAAAAGAATTATTATTCAAGTTCATCGTGAAAATTTAATAAAACTGTTGTTATCCAATTTTCAAAAAAAATGTCAACAATTCGGTAGAATTCATACAATACTGTATGTACGTGCATATAGGCAAATATACAAATACAAGTATATATGTATGTAGTATACATACACACAAATGATTTTCACTTTCTAAATCAATCAATCTTCGTTTAGCGTCCAGAGACCCAGTTTCCCGAGGTAGGACCCACTTTCTAAATATATAAGTAAACGCAAAATACACGGAAAAATATTTTGAACAACAACGTTTAAGAAGGTGTTTGGTTAACAAGGTTAATAAACTATGAGTATATATATTATATATTAACTATGAGTATATATATACATATATATATATATATATATATATATATATATATATCTGTGTGTGTGTGTGTGTGTGTGTGTGTGCGTTTAATTATACGATAATTCATTTATTCATATAACTAATTCATGCCAGCCACTGAATTAACAGTAATCTTATTTTACAACAAATTAAATTTTCAAATCAACATAACACAATGACGCCATACGGTCATGTTACAAATATAATCATGTGATAATATATACCAAAACACGATGAACTCGTCATATATAGTTATACATTAATAAATAATGAACACCAACAGACATATCATGGTGACATTTAGTTGGAAAACATCTTCGAATCAGCCGAACCGACGATGCCGACCCGAGTCACTCAGAGTCCGGTCGAAAATTTTGGTCGAAAATTAATTAATAAAGTGAACGACATTTTTATATATTAAAAAAAATATTGGTAAAGAAATAAAAATATATATATATATATATATATGTGTGTGTGTGTGTGTGTGTGTGTAGGTTTGTGTGTGAGTGTGTGCGTGCCTATATTATCTCATACGGAGTTCATAGTTTAGTCATACTTTTCTTTTTTTTTTAAAAAAACAAGAAAAAGAAAAACGGAACAAAAGTAAAATAACAAAAAAAATGAAGGAATAATAATGAAACAAGCAACATATTTTTATTATTTACTATATTAATTATTATATAATTTATATATATATATTACATAAATAATTGAAAAAAACAGTTTGCTTTAAATAATGATTGATTGATTGATCGATTGAATAATCACTTAATATCACGATATTGTATGGGGAAAATGATACACACACACACATACACACACACACACAAAGACACGCAGTGTGAATGTATGTGCATGTGTGTACAGCATAAAACAAATCAATCCGCTAATACTTTTAAATGCGAATACAGTAAATTAGCAATTAGTTATTGGATTGAATATTCTATGATGGATGTACAAGGAGGATGAAAGTTAGCGCCGCTAAAAACGCCAGTTGGAAGAGATGAAAAGAATGAAAAGAAAAGATGAAGAAATCCCACTGAAAAGAATCATTACATTCGTCTGTATATAATAAACACAATAATAATAACCATAACCACAATAATAATAATAATAACCATATTAATAACACTATAATAATAATAATAACAACAACAACAATATTAATAATAATGATACAACGATTTGTTGTAGTATAGTGGTAAAAAACAAGTGTCCCATATAAATATATATATACATATATATATATACATATATATATATATATATATATATATACGTATATATATATATATACGTATATATATACATATATATATATGTATATATCATATATATATATGACTAGGATTAAAACTATTAAAACAAGAATTAAAAGTAAAATATACACATTAACAATAAACAAGCAAACAAATAAATAAATAGACAAACGGTCGAATTAACGTAAATAATAACAAAATAATTTTATAAGTATTTCATAACCTTAAGATGAAAAATAAAATGTGATGATAATGATGATGATGAAAATTTGTTGGAAAATATTCTATGATGGAAAATATTGCAAAGGCATTTTCTATACTCACTATTATGTCTTCCATTATAAAATAATTATTCTTTATATATATATATATATATATATATATATATATATATATATATATATATATATATATATATATATATACATACATATATACATGTAATAGATAAATAGATGTAGATAAGAATAACAAAAGGCACAACATGATCAATCACTCGCTCACTCACTCACTCACTC